CCACAAAAACCAAACAATAAAAATAAATAAATATATTTTGTTTATGTCATGATATAGCTGAATCCTCAGACAAACAGATTCTCATACAGATTATTGAACAATTAAAATATTCAGGAAATTAGCAAATTTCTAAAATTTACAAATTTATGATGGTGAATTTTTAATTGTCAACAAAACAAAAGGCAAGCGATTTCTAATTGCGACCTAATGAAAAGTCGCACAATAAATAAATTTGCAAATGCAATTTGCATGACTATGATAAAAACAATAAATAATGAGAATGAAGGCAATCAATGAGGCAGATAGTAAAAATAAATTATAACGCAGTTAAAAATAGAGCTGCAAATTAAGAATTCATGACAGCTAATAAATTTGCTGAAGGTCTGATGCCTTGATAGGGTACAAAGCTGATGATTCAAGGTGAACTTAATTAGTTAATGATGATAATTTGATGATAATTGCCTGACAAAATATTAAATATTAAGTAAATACCAAACAAAAAAGATATTTACTACGTAGTACAACTTTTTTCATCAAAAGAATTACGCAAAACTATAATTCTTATCCGATTCTTAATGGTAAAACTTGCGGCAATACATCTTCAAAGGCGACATCTGTTCTGTTCTCTCTCTCTGGTCTCCTTCTATTAGAGTTTACAAAGAGTTAAACTAGTTCAGCTTTTAAATTGATAAACTTTACTTTGATGACACTAGCTTTTGTACTATTTCTGTACATCTCCCACTGAGGGGTGTAATTACTAACAAAATCAAGAAACTTTTTCCCTTGCTCTCTTGGACAGCTAATGATTGTTTGATAAGCTCCGTCGGGGATGGAGGGGAATGTGGTAGATAATTTATAAATAAAAGGGTAAATAAGGGGGCTGGACTGCAGCTTGATGAAGGCACCATGAATGGCGGCGCAACGAAGCATAAATAAATAAAACAAAAAGCCAGAGAAAGTGCCGAACAACTTGCACTTGTCGACGACCATTGGCCATTGGCCATCCGTCGTCCTTGCGGTTCCATTATATATATACACGATTTTTTTTTGGGGGGGAGACTATCCTGCTGTGCAGATATGCAAGTTGCATGACAAAAGTTTCACAATTAAAACGGGCAACATTTTAAAGAGGGACTTGCGGCCGGAGCGTTAAATTTTATATGCCGGCCAGAGTGAAATTCATAGCCAAAGTCTATTTTATAGCTGCAACAGAAGTTCTCCCCCCACCCCACTACACTGTCCACTGCCCTTTCCGGAAAAGTTTCCCATTTTTCTTGTTGGCTTTTTTTTTATGTTTTTTGTTTTACAGCCTTTATATATATATATATTCTTTTTTGTCTAGTGGCAAGCCGGAAGTTGTTAGGATGAAATCTGATTTGGAAAGGCAGCGACGACGGGGAATATTCTGGCTTTTTGGATTTTGTGCATTGTGTCGGCTTGGAGCGGAAAAACTTTGGGGCTGAGAGATAGTTGAATGAACTGCGAAAGGATTTGGTCATAATATAGATTTGTCTGATGATTTGCTCAGCAAAAAGTTACGGAAACTTTTATGATAGCCGCCGAAAAAAAGGGTTACTTTCATTGTTTAACCTTGGTTTATTGGGTAATATTTTCTTTGATTGGGTCTAGACACAAAAGAAGAATTTATTTGTATGTTAAATATTTTATTTCAATCATTGTACTTGGGATAATTTGTGAATATGTTCTTGTTTCGATGGAATAAAACCATTTGAAAATGTGTTAAACTGTTTTCTTTCTTAATTGTTATCTTCTAACTTTAAATTCTCTTAAAACTTCCTCAAAGAATTGGAAACTTCAAAAACCCTCATAAAAATTGCAATACCATTTCAACTTCTTGACACTCCTCAACCAACAATTGTCAAAACATTTACATTTTATGGGCTTTTGTGAAGGAGGCCCCAAAAATACTATTAACCCTTGACACACACTTAACCTACAAGTTCATGGCACTGCATAAGTTTTAGAAATGTTTTTAATGACCACAGAAATGAAACAAAAACTTTCCATACATCAAATAGCGATTACACAAATTACTACTAAAACACAACACAAAGAGATGGTGGGAGGACCTCAACGAGAATTTTAATTAAAAGTTACAGCCCGTTATGGGATTTCACTCCTTTTTTCTCTCACTCAAAACACTCACAAAGCTCTCTAGAGTATGGAAAAATATTGTTGACAACATTAAATTAATTTTACCTTAGGGATTAGTACAGCAAGAAAGTTTATTTTATTTTTGTTTGCAGATAAAGCTCAGAGAAAGAAAGTTGTATAAAATAACTATCCATTTTGCAAATTTAAGTTAATATTCCTATTTAAATCTTAAAATCTCACAGTTCATTATAGATATTTACATCTAAGTACATATTTCATGGTTCACTGATTTTATATATAATTTCTATATATTAACAATCTAAGCTTAAACCGGTTTTCATAAACCGTAGCCAGTTCACTGACCACAAATTAGAACTTTAATAAAATCGAAATGGAAATTGTTTTGATAGAAATCGCCACACACATACGGATTTAATACAAATACAAATCCTTGTGTGTGTGCGTATACCAATTCATATGGAATTATGCAGGAATTTAGAGTCCTTTATGCCAGCCACAATACAACTGCCTGCAATTTGGTAACTAATTTCAAATGCAACAACTCAGTTGCCCTAAGCCAGCCTCTTCAGGGCGTGGCACGTTGGCCGAGATGAATATTTTACGCTTTATGATCTTTACATGCTGCAAATATAAAGAGCTTAGAAAAAGGGGATATTGTGGTCAGTTTAGATGATTCGCTTTAATAGAGAAAAAAAAAAAAAAAAAAAAAACACAAAACATTGAAAGTCTTATAAATCAGGTACTGTTTTCAGTATATTCTCCAATCAAATTTTTACTAATAAACAAAAATCATTATTTTAAAAATAATTTTAAATAAAAAAATATGAATAAAAAAGAAATCCACTTTGACCCCGACGTGATTTGAACACGCAACCTTCTGATCTGGAGTCAGACGCGCTACCGTTGCGCCACGGAGTCATGTTGATAATCCCAATTAAAACATAGCTATGTATATGATTGAATCAAGTGAAAATATTTTCAAAGCAACGATAAGATAAGTGCATTTAGCTCTCCGATTCTTTTTCCTCTATGTTTATTAATCTATAATAGATTGCTGTTGCTATAAATAAAGTCAATGAGCAACAAATAAATATCCGATAAGCTCTTATTTATTTTAATTAATGCCATAGTATATTTTCTAGGAAATATAATAGTAAATATTAAAGGGAATGCACTTGAACATTTGATTACAAGAATATATTCTAATTTTATTAATTTATTTATTTTGTTTTTTGCTCAATACCATAATTAAACGTTGTATATTTAGTTTAATAGTTTAAGGTCACACTTCAAGTTTTTATATATTATTAATATTGTCCTCTTTTTTGTCATATGGATTTATAATTAATTTTTAAAAACATTTTTTAAGCATGGGACAGCTATTTATCCCTGTTTCTGCATAGGTTAAATGTGACCGTTTTAAATAAATCCTCTGTTTTAATGTGACCTTAAATTGGCCTTATAAAAATGATCGATTTAATATATGTATATATTTTTTTTTATTTCTCCTTTTTTTTTGTTTAAATTATTAGCTTTATATGCAAACTTTACATTTTATATTTTAAAATATAATATATATATATATAATAATTAAATAGTTACACTGTGCTAACATAGATTTAAAATAGCAAATAAGTAAAAATAATCCTATATTTGTATGGTCGTTTGCCTCGCGTATTGTACAACTATTCTTAAAGCCCCTTGCTACTTGCTATTTGTAATTACAAATTACAAATTCCGACAAATTATAAACAAGGCACGTAGTCAAGTTGATATATGGTATGTCTGTATGTCCCTTACTTTGTTGTTCAGCCAATAAAAGTGGGTAGCACTTGTAACCCCACAATAAGAATTAGTTGCTCCAGTCGAATCACTGTTAATTTCAGATCTGAAACTTGTAGCCCAAGAGCAAAGCAAATTTCATGACTGCCAAAGAAGCGTAAACATTTAGCAAAATGAAATTCCCAGAAACTAAAATGATACAAAAACACGCAGCGAGTAAAAAAATGTGTAGGGAGAGGAAAGCAAGGAAAAACAAAACAAAAGAAATTAATTTGCATGCAAATGAGTACAAAACTGAATGAGAAGAAGCAAAAATTCAATGAGGAATTTTTAATTACCCTAAAACGGTTACAGATTTCCATGGATATGGGTGCTTACTGTCCTCCTTCGTGCAGGATCAGCATAATTATGTAAGTCAACACACGGCAAGAAGCTTCCTTCCTTCCGTCAAGTGTTGCACATACAGATACCTTTTGGTTGTTGCTCTTCTGTTGCTTGTCAAGTCAATTGCGTAATTAACATTCGTAAGCAGTTGTAGGCTCTCGAAGTCGAACTCGGCTCTGCTCTACTCAACCTAATTGAAATTTTGGACAGAAGCCAAACTATATGTGTTTTACCCTTTGAGGAATCTCCTCCAGCAGCTCTAGTATTTGCAACTCATAATTTTACAAGGGAGCCAGCGCACACATCCTGCCTCGGTTTTGTCCTGTCCTGTGTGTGTGTGTGTTTTCGATTTAGTTGTGTGGCCAGGACTCGTGTCATTAGCATATGCTATTTCAAGCCTTGGCAACCATTCGAGTTCTCTTCATTTGGCAAGATGGCTAATAAAACAGCCAATATGTGGGCTATGTGCCTATCCTACAGGCATTCATAATTCACAGGAAATGTTACATTCAATATTCATATTCGATTCTATCAAATTTGTATTTATTATGCCCTTAATTTAATAGCTACACGTTCTATATCAGGCTCTTGCATTAATTGCTTGTAGACTTGGGAATTCAAATGTTGTCAACTGCTTATTCCGCGTCAATTAATTAAATCCTAAATTCACTTAACGCTCTACTTCTCTATCTTTACAGGTAAACAACATTAAAGTGATGAGTAAAGCTGAAATGAGACATTTTAAGGGGAATTAAAGATGGTTTATATAAATTAAGACGGATGTAAGTACATTTTATAAATATTTTAAATGGAATAGATTTCTTATTCTTGGAAATTCTACGCTGATATAAAAATTCTTTTTAATAAACTGATTATTTCCCTCTTGGCAATTACATTTAAATATATTTATATATACTAGTATATGTTTTTCTAAACAAAGGAAAAAAACCAGAGCAAATATCACAGTTTCCTTATCAAGAGTCATTTCCCGTTGGTATGCCAATCACATTTTCCCCAAAGGAGAGTACTTCAAATATTTATTAATTATTTTTAATGGCGGTGAATCACCATAATGGATATATATTTGCAATCTGTAACCAAATGCCGTACTTCAGTCACGCTCAAAAGTGCTTAGTGGATTCGTGATAATTTTTAGCCCGGCCTAAATGGCTACTCCCTCTTGGATTTCCCTGCCTCCTGTGGTAATTACACACAAAAATCTAAACCACACTTTTCGTGTTCGAGAGATTTTCGAGTACAGGGAAAAAGGAGGCAAATGATAAATATTTCGATTAGCGTTCAATTGAGTGCACATAACTGTTGATGAACCAGTAAAGCCGGCGGGCAACAAGTCAGTCAGAAGGGGGGAAAACTGTTAATTGAATTGCTCTAGAAAATCAAAGTCAATCCAGGTTCATTAGGGAAGAAGTCGAGCATTGGTAAACATCGAAACATTCAAGTGTATGAGCAGCATTACAGGGAAAAAAAATAAGTATAAAGTTCTAGAATTTTAGGAGAAATATTATATTATTCTTATTATTATACTTAGGTATCATTTTATTTGAAATTCATCTTGGTAAAAGACACCATAAATGTCCCAACAAATATATTAGATCCACAAAGTTTCTTTCGGTGCATCTGATGCCTGGCTTAAATCTGAATTCGGCATTTGTGTGGCCTTTCATTAGCGCTGTGTAAATTCGTTGGGCAAATCCCGGTGCATCTGCGTATCTGTATCTTGTATCTGTTAATTGCTCCGATTACCGCATTCGCGTGCATGTCTAGGAAAGTTCAGTAAACCCTTGCATGTCCATAAAATGCCATTTTCAAACAATAACAATTATTATATAAAGTAATTTATATATTTTGATGGCATGTGCCTGATAATAGCAGCCGTCGCAGAAGCAGCTCATCTTTTCGTTCTTATCATTTGTGATGGCCTGCCGGCACCTTAGACCCAATCTTTGTGAATCTGGAAAGCTGCCAGAGATAAGGTAAAGCTCTTTCCACACAATAAAAACTACACAGATGTGAAACTACAAAGCTGTTGGAGTCAATAATAACAGTATCCGTTTCGTTGAATGTTTTGTTTGTGATGTAATTGCACGATTTTGCAGTGTTATTAAATGTAGATTTTAATTTGGAACTATATATATATATATATCCAATTTTAACACGAGTCTTGCATTAAGTACACCATCATTACATGAAGTTGATAATCGGCAATCATTTGAAATTCTGTGTAATTTTTTGTTTTCATTTTCCGTTGACTCTCCTCCGCGCTGGCCAACTGAGAATTCCCCGGGCAAGTGATAAGCCAAACTCGTTCTCAGCCAGCTCAGTTCCGTTCAGACCTTGCGCTTAGCCGGTTCAACTTTTGAGAGCGTTAATTACGGGGCAACACTTGTGTGTGAGTAAGGTTTTTCTTATAAATATTTTCAACCAATTGTTTACAGTTTGTTGTGAAATGCTATCGTTAAATTAATAATGTGGTGATTTTTATTTGTTTCACACGAAAAGGAAATAAAACAAGTTCAGCTGTATGCCTTGCGGTTATACTAAAAATTCTCAGAAATCTAAAAGTAACAAGTTTTGTTAAAAAAGTGGCAAAACAAATTTATCAAGTGGAAAATTAGTTAGTAAAGTGCCTTTCTTCCAAGCCTAAGGATGATTTCAGACTGTATTTCCAACTAAGTGTAAATAAAGTGTCTATAAATTATTTAAAATTAATAAGGATATTGCTTTCAAATGTGTAAACTGTGAAATTTACTTTTAAAAATTAATAAATATATTTTAAATAATTTTTCTCATATTTTTTGTTATTTATTCTTAAAATTTGTGTCTACAATTTATTTAATAACTAAGAATTCAATGGCAAACAAAGTGTTTATTTAGTATCGAAGATTTTTAAGCTTAAAATATAAAATAAATCATTAGGAACACCCCACTAAATGACCATTTATATTGCCAAACTTATTTATTTGCCAAACGTTGACCAGAATTTTTGCCATGTTTTGCACATATTTTACGCATAAATATTTTGAGCTCATTTCGAGCTGCCACACTTGAGTGAAATACATATATTTTTAGCCAAGAAGCAATAAATCAAAGCTAATTCGATTAGCAGCCTTGAAGAGGATCGCCCACTTGATAGCCGGAATAAATGGAGCGAGTGCGTCGAGATTATAGAGCATTTATTAAGTCTTCCGCTGGATACAAAATAAAATAGAAATCTTGTCATGACAGAAAATCAACCGGCATGACGCAAAATGATGGCTATAATTAGAGACACGAAACTAACTTCCGCCTGAGAGACACGTGCCACTCGACATTCTCAATTGCAGAAATCTCTGAAGCCCACTTTGCGCACTTTTCAAGGCTTTGGCCAAGGCCAAGTTCATGTTATATACGTATATATTTTTAGCAATTGAGATAGTTTGTTTATTGTGTAGAAGATTTCAATTTACATTCGATGCGCTTCACAGACAGAAAGGCAGACAAGTAAACTCATAGAGCGACAGACCGAAGACAACCAACAATTAAGTGTCCCAAGAAGAAGTGAACGGACCGTGAAGCGCTTTTCAATGTCAACTCGGAGATGAAAATGTTGCTATATATACATATTAGTTTTTGCCACCACTAAACTCGAAAGGTCAGCCGACCGGAGTCTGCAGAGAGATCCGCTCAATTGAATTGTGTAACTCGAAATTGTTTAAGTATAATTAAAGCAAGCCCAAGGCAGTGGCCAGAGACCGGCGACCAAAGATGGAAGCCTCAAGAGATCGCTTTTGAAGTTTGCTTTTCCAATGGAGTGAGGCATCAATGTGCAGACTGGGAGCCAGCTGCTCGTCATTGAGCTTTGATCTTTTCCAACATGCTGACTAATAACAGACATTACAAATTGCAGAGAGAAAAATAAAGCTTAAAGGGAAGCAATAATTAAATTAAATATATTTTTGTTTTAGTTTTCGACTGTCAAACTACAATCTTTAAGTCATTTATTGCTCCTAATGAATAATTAATTGAATCCTACCTTCTGAGTGGATTTTTCACAGTGTAACATAGTCTCTTTATTGAACTTCTTAACCTTCACGAATACTAATAATTCCGTATATGTATTTTTCTCTCTGTTGAATTAACAAAACCTTCGGATAAAAAACCCATGGAGTCATCAAAACATGAACATCTCAACATGACAAATGAGAAATATTCATTGAGGTCTGAATGAAAGCCTCAAATCGAACATTTTTGACTTTAAAGGCAGGAAAATTCCGCATTAATAAACATCAGTTTGAACCTATTTCCATATGACCTGCTTTGTGTTCGATTTTCTTCCATTTCCTCAAGCTTTCCCTTTTTCTTTTTCTTCTATTTTTCCAAACGCCCTGAAACGAGCATGTGAAACGGAGCATCTCCTCCAACACTCTTCAGTTCCAAGTCCTGCTCAAGGTTTTTCACTGCAGCATAATTTTCAATTGCTTTGGAAAAGCCAAAGCCTTCAATTCGATTCGAATTTTACCAGGTGAAGAAAAAGGGGAGGCATAGGTAGGTAGAGAACTAGAAAATGTTCTATTGAAATCCATCTAGCACCGATTTTGCTGCACAAATGAGCAGACCTCGGATGTGTCTGAGGATTTTCCCTTTTTCCGAGTTGTCATTTTGGATGCCAAATTGTGTGTCTGAAGAGCAGAAGCAGAGTCAGGGAAATTACTCTGTTTCCAGTTCTCGGTCAGCATATTTAATTAGGACAAACCGACATGACTTTGATTTCGAGCCCTGCTGTTTTTGTGACTCACAATTTGATAAACTCTTTGACGCTTAATTGCTGGCGCCTGGTTTTGCATACTAAACACTATGAAATGGGGTCTCGTCTGGGGAAATAGTAACTAGAAAATGAATTTATGTCACTTTGTGCTTGTTCTTGACACAAATGATTGCAGTAACGTGTTGAATGGTGTTCAATGTCAATACATTGAGGGAAAATGGTTTTAAATTTAGATCTTAGAAAATGATAACTTATATATCAGGTTTCTAAATAATGTTTCTAATTCTGCTGTAATGAGAGACTTCAATAAAGTTCCTATTTCAATCATTAATTTGTAAACTGCAAACTTGACTCACTCTGAGAGCACTCACACACTTTTCCGCAAATACAACTCTTAATAGAGGGTAACTGTAACCCAATTTTTCCCCACTTATAATCCAGAAACACACACTGACAACACAGACACTCCTCCCTTTTTAGACCCCACTCCATCATCCCAAAAAGACCAGAGCCAGAAAAAGGCAATTTCGCATAAAAGCCGCAAACAGATGAAACCAACAGATAGAAGCCAGAATTGTGAGGAAGACCGAAAGGCAGCCACAGATTCATTCCATAGGCGGCGGGCATATGAAAATAATGCGTGCCGCACCAATTTCAATGCAGTTGCACAAACGGTCGGCCAGGCAACCTTATGCCCCAGTCCCTAGGTCCTAAAAATGCACTGCAAAAAAGATAATCAGGCCTGCTCCGGTAATCGTAAAATTTTTTCGATTTCGTTTTGGGCGAAAACGAATCGTTTTCGTTTTTAGCTGCTCCGGTTTTCGGCAAATTTCTGCTATCGGATGTTTCGTTTTCTCATCGTTTCTCACTGCTCAAGCAGCTAACTTGTGTTGTTGGTAATAAGCAAAAAACGTTAAGTACTGCCTATTATATTTACAATTGCCTTTTATCTAAGCCAGAAAAAGGCAAAAAATGGTAGAATTAAGCAAATCCAGGCACCTAAGATGCTGCCACACT